AATCAGTCATTACAACGTTGGACGAATCTGCTCTGTGACAGCATAAATCGACGAATCTGCGGTCTTGACTTTTGCTACACTTCTTGCGATAAATGTGTCGCAAAAATAATTTTCACCAGTAGATGTGGGGGGAGGGTCGGGGGTTGGAGCGAAGGGGCGGAGCTATCAGAACGACGAAGCTCGGGTCAGGCTAATGGCCCGTCTACACTACAGGCATCGAAGAATGCTTTCAACGCTTCGCCCATTCACTTGAATCGGGTGACGTAGAAGATTTTTAATCTTTGCCGAACTGCATTGTGGGGAGCATGGCATGGCTTTGCAAGCATCACCTACCCCACCTTTAAATATAAAATATTTCTAGTGTGACAAACATTGCATAAAAACATATATTATTCTAATAGGGTCCTTTTTGACCCACTTATGGAAGAGGGTCCAGTCACTCGTGCATCTAAAGGTCCTTACACACCGAACTGACACCAAAGAACACCAAAGAACAAGTCCCGACGGAACCTTGGTTGGTGATTGGTTAATGTTTATGTATGAAATACATGAAAAAGTGGATTTTGCATAATAGGTGACCTTTAAAGTCAGAATTCAGACTTTAAGCTCAGAACAAAAATTAATAAATAACTGATCTCCAAAAACAACACATGTGGCACTAAGTACTTAAGTATTTAAGTACAATATCAAAGTAAATAACTTTTTCTAAATGTCTCCTGATATTTCATCATGAATGATATTAGTGTACGGTTGTGTATCAACATGTAGCATTTTACTGTTATACCCTGTTACACTGTTAGGAAGCTATGTTCAGTGGGTCCATGTTAATGATTGCCCCCCCTTCATAAGAGACATTTTGAGAGTCTTGGAAATAAGAAAAAATAAGTTCTTCTACACAAATTGAAATTCATATTTTGGCATTAATATTTGAGAGAGAATCTCTTTTGATTGGTGCCCCGACTCCACACTACACTAGTTGTCTGTAAGAGGTCAAAACAGTGGAGAGCTGGTGCTTCACTGTCACAGCAGGTCCAAACCGAGAGCAGGAAAGGTCAAAGCACCTGCAGTTACAGCACTAATCAGGATGTAGCACGCTGTGCATCATGGGAAAATATGATCCTCTGCACAGCAGCACAGAGGGGTCTCTGTTCAGGGATTAGCCTTAAATGACTTTCTCAATTTACACATTACAGAAGAATTCACTTGAGGAAAAATCATATAAAACAATAACCCAAATTAAAGATATTATTATTATCTCATCGACATGTTTGTTTTCTTGAAATAGAGCTCTCGAGTACATTTTATTAGAATTTTGAGGTTATAACTTTATTATTTCTGAAAAATAGAGCATGTTTTCTAAGAGATATTATCTCAGAATTTTGAGATGACAATCTTGTTAATTTATTTTTTATTAAAGATGACTTTTCTCAGAATGATGAGGTAACTGTCTTATTAATTCACTAAAAAAGGCCCATATTATTTTATGAATAAATACATCACACTGTTGTACATGTGCTTCTATGTAGTGTTTCAAGATTTTAAACAGTGATGCTCTCCTTCACAACGCTCTATGATAAATACTCCAGCAGAGGGCTCCAGAGTCTGTGTTTCTGCCCTCAGGTTTGATGAGAGGGAGTCAACAAAAATATCAGAAGTTATTTTCCCATTAGCTCTCAGTGTGTGAGGATGGAGCAGCCAATCTGATCCAGTCAGCTGGAGCCAGCAGAGTTCCTCCTGAGCCCCTCAACAAACCCCTCTGACCTCTCCGGACCGACCCGTCTGCACCATGAAGCTCTGGGTGGTGCTCGGCATGGCCCTGCTCTGGGTGGAGCTCCAAAATGGTGAGTGAAGTCTCCACATCTGTCTCGTAGATTCATGAAGCAAAATGGCTGTTATTTTCAATCATGAAAACTTGGATTTTAACCTGGAAGAAGTGGGAGGATAAGATAATATGAGGTTGTGTAAATCAAGACTGACTGGGGTATTTGTGATGGGCGTAGAATGGGAGGATGTTAGACATAGAAGTAAATCACATTGACATGAGGCAAAGAAAAACATTTGATTTACATTTGTTTTTATATTTGAATTGTATATATGCATATCAATTGTAAAAGTTGCATGAGAGTTGTGTGAGTTTTTGCAAAGTGTTTCTGCAGACCAACTCAAAGCAGATGCATCTGAGGCATGCAGCAGGCGTTTCTCATTACTGATCTTTACTGCTGACCTTTCCTTCTCATTAATGCTGCACGGAAGAATAAAACAAACACACCCTGAAAGACCACACCACAGACCGAGAATTTGTTTTTGTCTTATGTGCCCACTCAGAAATACAGAGCCCAAAAAAGAGGCTGGGTTCTGCACATTCTGTGCCAGTAATAAGGATTTCTCACTTCCTGCTTTAATGTTGTCACAGCTGGAGAAAACACAGAGTAGCTCTTTTGGAAAGACATACCGATCACAAGTCTGGACGCTCGTACAGTACAAAAAGAGAGGATTTTGTAACATTTGCTTTATTACTTTTAAAGGGGCACTATTATGCTCATTGTCAGGTTTCATAATTGTATTTTGTGCCTCTACTAGATGTCCCACCCCTTAGCCTACAATGTGTTGGAGAGCTAGCCAATAGAAGCGCAAGTGTTACATTGTGATGTCACTACAGTATGTTACTGAAGTTAACAAAGGACTAACTTCAAGTCGTATCAAGCAGGGGGAGGGAACTTTTGGATTTTAGCCTTTGCAGACCATTTACATGCACACAAATCTCTTTATAACACTACAGGGAAGGGAAAACACAACAAACCATAATAGGGCCCCTTTAACCCCTCTCTCACCCTCCCTTATCCAGGTTCCTGCCAGCAGATCAAGCGTAGAAAAGATGTAGGAGAGAACCGCATCCACCCTGGGGGGAAGAGGGTGAAGGTACGAAAACTAAAAGAGGTAGCAGGGAAAGGCCAGACCCTGCTGACCCAGGTTCTAGATAAGGGACGCTTCCTGCGCCTGGGCCAGAGCACCAGCCTGACCCCAGGGAGGAACATGGAGCTGCGCTGCAAAGGCAACTCCATCGGGTGGTCCTACCCCCCCTACCTGGACACCTTCAATGACTCCCGCCTCAGGTGCTGAATCAGCCGTTTGGCATCATGATGGATGTGAATGTGTGAAGGTCTGATTATTTGTTTTCTTTCCCGCCTCCAGCATCATGCAGAGCGACAAGTACAGTCAGCTGATCCTGAAGGCGCCCTCTGCTGCCGACACGGGGCCCTACAGCTGCTGGGTGATCGTCTGTGATGGCACCGAGTGTGAGAGGGACCACGACCGATCATACGTCTCATACATCTATTTCACAGGTAAATCATGGGATACATAGCAGATTGCACTCTCCAGTTTCTATAAGGGATATTTATAAAAAAACGACATGTCACTTTGATTGAGGGTTCAGGATTCAGTTTAATAATAGAATCAGAATATAGTTTCTTGCTAAAAGGCTTTCATGTAAAAGGAATTTGCTTTAGTTGTATAGGTGTACGAGGGAAAATTACAATATCAAAAAAACATAAATGTAGAGAGAAAGAAAGTTACAATTAAAATATGAAAAAATCTACAATATATCTGAATTTAAGTTATATTTATAAGTAGGCTATATAATATTTAATAATGCTTTATTATCAATAACATGATCAGTAATAGGGAATAAGTATCTATTAGCTCATTTTTTTTGTTTTTACGGGGCAGCAACTTTATTATAACTAATTAACTTTGATAAATCTTTTAAACTAATCAAAGTCACACAATAACACTAAAAAACCAGTAGATTCAGCATAAGACCATCAACTTCCTTATGCTGTGATGTTAAAGAACTATCTTTGTCAATTAAGTCTGGTAGCTTAGTTAATGTCTTTGATCCCCCCGAAAAAGTGCTGTCTGATGGCAAGGTTAAGCAGAGAAAATATTTTAAATATAGCATACAACAAAAATTATATGTTTTGCTGCTACTTTAGGTAACACACTGACCCACGATAATACTTTATACAACCAGATAATCCGAACTATCTATTTAAAAATCTACATCAAACACATCAATCACCTTCATGAATGGATGACCTAGCTTGCAGATACAAGTATTTTCCTTATTACCTTATTTGACCCGACATACCTGTCCCTCCGAACAGACAAAGACAACCTCTTCGTCCCCTCGGCCTTCCACTTTGAGATCGCGTACCTGCGCCCGGACCGGCCCGCCGTGGTGCCGTGCCGCGTGACCGACCCGCAGTCCGAGGTGACCCTACACAGAGAGGTCCCTCCAGAGGAGATCACGGCCAACGGGACGCAGATGACCTACGACCCAAGCAAGGGCTTCGTCCTGCAGAACCCCAGCCCCGAGCAACAGGGGGTCTTCTACTGCAAGGCCGTGACCAAGGGCACCCCCCAGATCTCCACCAAGTACCAGCTGCTCTACGTGGAGGGTAAGATCATTAATGCATAGACACATGGTGATGCTGCAGGATCAGAAACCATTACTCGTGTGCCTTAACTGTGAAAAATAATTATGTTACCTATCACTTTGATTAAAGCACGGTGAGAGGCTTTTCACAAAGTCATGAATCATGTGACTTCGCTTCATCAGCCTCCAGGAAGAGGTCGTATTTCACAGTGGTCAAGCCCCTCCCCTCCACATCACTAATCTTGGTTTATGTGGACGCTTGCCAACTTAAAGGGGACCTATCATGCAAAATGCACTCTTGTACGTCACATGAATATGTGTCCCCGGTGTGTCAGGGAACTCACCAAGTGTGAAAAAATACAACCCTCTCTCTTTTCCTCTATACCCAAATCTCTAAAAACGGGGCTGCAACGAATCTGATACAGACTGATCCAGATTTGAATTATTTTCTACGTCACAAAAGTGGTGCTCCGCTTAGTGGTCAATTCTCCACCTATCAGGGGAATAAGAGGTTGGGCCACGGCCGACCATTGTCGCTCGAAAGCGCTGGAGACGCTGTAGTACATATGCCAGGCCTGTAAGTGGCACTGTAGTCTGCCACAAAAGCAGTGAAGAAGACTTCCCTTGCATGGTTGCCATGGTTGCCATGGTTGCCCTTCTGTTTATTCTCCGCTGTGGCTCTTTTTCTCCCTCCCCCGAGGCAAGCGTTTGCGCCTCCTCAATCATCAATCAATGTTTATTTATATAGCCCAATATCACAAATTTTACATTTATCTCAGTAGACTTCACAGTTTGTAAAGAATATCAGCCGTAAATTGAACTTGTAACGGCCTCAGTTTAGCATGGAACAAACTATTAAACCGGGTACGATTATTCGCCCTATTACACGTCGTTGAACCAGTAATACCCGCTTTTCTTGTCGCTGTCCGACTGGTCCTCAGCTGCGCTCTCGCGCATCTCCCTGACAGTCGGTAGTCTGTAATCGCCGTACTGGCGCAGCGACGTGTAATAGGGAAGTGTATACTAATATAGCTCAGTAATAAGTAAAAGCAAGAATTTCGTGCCCAGTACGCGATTAACCTGCCGGAAGACCCGCTTTGGACAGACGTAATTCTCGCTCTGCCGTAAGTAGATGAAACCTTCCGACGGTTTAGAGTAAAGCCGTTTGTAAAGTCCCGAAACACCTAAATTAGGTACTGTTTGACGCTCAACTTCTGCTCGGACCGATGATGCTCGTCCTAAAAGCGAATCGCCTGTCCCTTTGAGGCCGAAAGGCGCAGGATGCGTGCAGACGCAAGAGAAAAATCGCCCGGATCTAGAGGTACCACTTGAGAATACGACGACACCGCTTCGGACCCCCCGTAGTATTATGCTTCGTCCCTAAAACCGCAATCGTTTAATTGAAGACACTAAAGGCCATGATGCTCGAGCCAAGTGAAAAACGCCGCATCTAGAGGTAGCCACTGAATAGGACCTTGGATCAGACCGCGGCTTCGGTCCTCATCTAAGTGTCCTAATTTCTCTAGTTGAGTCGCTTTGTGGTGCCGACGGCTGGTTAGTCTCGAGCTCACACGCCGTCTCCTTATGTCAAATGTTGACGGCAACGGTCCTTTCTGCCGGCCGGGTTTTAGTGACTGAGACACCTTGCAGCTTTTACTTTAGCCTTATAGTTGGAGGGTAGAAGTCGTCGTTAACCTGACTAAATCATTGATAAATAATATGATAATACAATTCGTTTGCGAATAATTTATAGACGGTGTCGTATTCATTAGGCCTAGTTTTCATTGTAATGCACGATGGCAGGCGCGTGACACCTCACGGTCTGCAGCTAGGACGACAGGGTCAATAGTATAGTGTAGTATTACCATAGTAATGAGCATAATATACAGGAATAGACTCAGTCGCGGCGTTCGGCATAGACCGGAAGAACGTTGTCGAGTCGACAAGTGTTCGGGATGACGAATCACGTCTTCATAATAAAATGTCGTTGTGTAATTGAACTGCTTTGTAAAGTCCAATTACATTAATTTCAGTCTAGAGCACAGAAACGTAGCTAATTTAGACAATTACGATGCGTAAGTTTGTGAAAAAAGACAAATGGTCGACATAAGGGAACGTTCACATCGATACAACGAAAACATAGAGACCATTTCATAAATTCAGTACCTGACAAATTTCAAATTGAAGAAGTATAGAACGAATTATTAATATCAGACTGAAAAGTCAACTCCTTCATACTGCGACGCGACAGTCATGCGAAGAGGTACAAACACTAACCAGAGCTTACGAGGTCTATGTGGGGAAGTAGCACTTGCGCGTGGATTGATGTATCCTGTGCGCACGCGAACTCTGTTTGCCGTCCTACTTGATCGGTCGCAACATCCTTGGTCAAATCGCTCTCGCCGAAACAAAACGCTAATTCAGTTGGCCGTATTGAGTTTTGTGATAGGTCCGTATGCAAACTTGATCTAAGCATCAATATGGGGGCGACGACGGCGCTTCGTCCAATGCCAGCGTCCGATTCGCTCTAAGTTGAGTCACTTTCGTGACGGACGCGCTTGTTAGCAGCTCGGAGTCACACACCTCAAATCTCGAATAGTTCGAGTATAATGTCCATATCTCCTTTATGTCAAATTTGACGGCAACGTCCTTCCTGCCGGCCGTTTTTAGTTTGAATGACACACTTGTCGCTTTTACTTTATCTTGATTAAGTGGAGGGTAAAGTCTCGTTGATGACTAATATTGTAATCGGCAATTCTTCGATTGAATTTATAGACGGTGTGTTTCATGTTGACTCACCGTCTACAACTAGAAGTGTAATAGTAAGTATAGTGTAGTGATAGTGTAGTACTTACATATTATATAAGAGGAATAGACCAGTCGGAAGAACTCGGCATAGACCGGCACGTTGTGAGTGTCACGAGTGTATGACATGGACGTCTTCATAATAAAATTCGTTTGTGTCATATTCAACTGGCTTTGTGAGCTCGAGTATTACGGGATTAATTCAGTCTAGCACAGAATCTGCCCCGCGGTCGACTAGTAGTAGGGTTTGGACAACTACATGCGTAAAGTTTGTGAAAAGAACCAATGGTCCGAGCATAAGTTGGAACGTCGCACGTCCGATACACGCCGAAAATAGGACTCTATGTCACAAATCCCAGTACGCTATAAATTTCAAAATTGAAGAGTATAAACCTGATTATGAATCATTTGATCCGAAAAGTAAGTCCTTTATACTGAGCGACGCGACAGTCACGGCCGAAGAGGTACAACACTACCAAGCTCTACGGAGGTTTACGGTGGGGAAAGTACACTTGTGCGTAGGCCATTGGATCATCGCCGTGCCGACCGAACTCGTCAGGTGAACGGTATTGGTCGGTAGCGATCCTGCGACCATCGCGTCTCGGCGCATACAAAACCCAACGGACAACTTTCCCTTGCACATGAAGGTAATTAAATCGGTGAAGAAATAATCTTATAACTACTATACAGAAATAAATAGTCGCGATAACAAGGTGTTAGTAAGTTCTCATCGTCACCCCTGTTTTGGCGGAAGAATTTTTCGGTGTTGGAGCTAGGTCTCCCAAATCGGGTTGATGATCTGGATAAAGTCTTAGAAGCGCCCGAACGGCGGAGGTTGTTTCTAAGAACCTTTCGGTCAGCGTTTTTTCAACGACACTAATGAATTTTTTGATACTTCAAATAAAACTTCTAAAAGTCAGACCCGGAGAATCTTGTGTAGCATCGGTGTCTCTGTCGAGCGACAATTTCAGTGTTTACCGGTAAGATTATCGGAGTCTGGTTTTCCTGAACAGAGACTAAAGGAACAAAAACGAGCCTAGAGTCGACGAACGTAAACTATGATACGCTGGGTTACGGTGTAGAATACGTTTCTGATCTCGTGGAATCAAACCCTATGTCCCTTGACGAAATCCGACCAAATCCAGGAATAGATAGACTTGCGAGAGTCAAACGATGCGACCAGTTGCGACTTAGAAGGTACGTTTTGGTTCAATCGGTAACCTCACGGTGTCCCGAGCGTCATGAGACTGGATTAAAAACATCATTTAAAATATACGAAGGCAATCCGGGGTTATAATTTTCGCTTACTAAGCACATGAACAAGGTACAATACGTCTACTATGAGGTTGCATATAAATAGTTAGTTCGCACTACTTCTAATTAGTGGACTTATTTTAAGTCCTGACGGAGTTCCTGAATTTTGCAACCCTACTGGAATTTGAAAAACTAGCATTTGTGCCACCTGGTTTTAGACTATTCAATAACATGAACGGGTTTCTTAGATGCTTTGTTACATAGATTTCTGAGTATGATTGATACCTACGCGTAATTAAACCGGAGTCGACTCTGAACATTCCTTAGAACGCACACTATATAACTAGTCCTAAATAGGAAATTGCGGGTGTATTTAGTAAAAGTTCTGGCGATGAAGGTAGACTGCATTGTAACGTTTTTAGTCCGGTATTAGAACGGAGTTTTGGCTACCGTTCTCTTGATCAGGTACGTACGAATGTAGTTCCCGACCAATAATACATTGAGCAAATAATAGTACCACGATGGTTCTGTCAGCAATTCACGAAGTCGACTAAGTTTTACGACGCCGAAAGCACAACATGATTGGTCTCAATCTTTTCCGTGGTGTAATGAAGGACAGACCGACGGAATGTGACCGAGGGCATATCCTTGTGTCCTATCTTAAATTTTAAGAAGAAGAGCTGGATGTTCGGGAATTACCCGTCCGCGGTAGAATGGAATGTTCCGTTGAGGTCCAATTTCTGTGGACACTTTATTTACCACATCCTGTTTACTACTTAGTGATCTAAAAGTTTTTTTTTATCGTCTTTATAGTGTGATGTCACTGTGACCGCAGCAAAAACATTCCTGTAAAGTGAAGGTGTATTTTTCGGAGCCCGTGCATGGAGGGCGCACACTGCGATTGTACCCCCCTTTGGTTCCTCTCGCCGCCCTTGTATAATTATTTGTACCTAGGGGTATGGAATCAAAGCTGTGTCTTCTGTGTCTTCTTCAAACTTGTACTTATAAGCTTACGTATACTACCCTGGGTGTGGGAATGATTAATACTCGGACGATCCGCGGTTGGCTCTGGTCCTCGTCGGTCTAATCTTGCGTTTATTGCCGGTAGCCTCTCTTTAACTCGACACCAACCACTCCTCTTGGTCACCTCTTGACCCCCGATAGAACCACTCACTGGCCGCATCGATGTCTTACAATCGATTTGAGTGTAGTGGTGTAACACTTCAATCGATAGTATATAGTCCGAATATTGATTTCATACGTAACTATATATCATTGCAATGACCGTCCTGCAACTATGACTGAGGTCTTGTCTTTGATTACCGCGTTCAAGTCGGCATAGTAGCGACAATAGGATTACGTTGAGGCTGTATGCCAACGACACATGGCCTCCCCTCTGCGCTCTATGCTGACTATGAACTCTAGACCGCCTCTTTCAACACCTCGGAGGCAACTAATACGGCAACATTTTACCGAACTACCTTTCGTCCACCATCAGCCTCTCCCAGGTGTCGACTAACGTCGTCCACTACACTTCCAACTCGGCCCTCGGTCCTACTGTCGGTGGTGCGTGTGTGTTTGTTGTGTCTGTCCCCTTTGGTTGTTTGTGTTTCCTCTGCCGACCTCGTAATGTCGGTGGTGTCGCAATGAATTACGGTTGAGGGTATGATTGCAGAATGCCCGGGCACATGGCCTCACTCTCTCTCCTCTCGTCGCTTTCCCCCCCCCCCTCTCACACATAACATTATGCCCAAAGGACTAGTTTCGACACCTCTCATACACGACGTACACACTATACACATCCCACGTGGGGTCTAATGCTTGCGTTCGAGGACCAGGAAAAAGGCACTCCTTTTGACACCTGAGCTACAGGACTGCCGAACCCATAACACGTTGGACGTGTTTGTGTTATGACGTGGTGCTAATGTTTACCCTTTAGTGTTGACATTTTGATGGCTTTTTATGGGTCGAGTAATTTTGGTGTTTGGCGAGGTTTGAGTCGCTTGAATGAGAAATTAATATTTGGGCCGCAGTCTCTCGCCTCTACAAATGGGAACACTACATTATACTGCCAACTGCAACATAGAGATTATATTTTTTTTCAGCAAATTCTCGTCTCGAGTTTTTACAGGGGAGGATAAAAACGCGGGGGACCCCGGGGAGAGTAAAACAGACATTTTTGTATAGTTTGAGATAGTATAGTGAAAAAAATTAACATTAAAGTCGTTTAAATTCGTCATTTACATCTTTTTTTTTAGAGAACAGAATTCTACAGCGCACACTTCTCTACACACCTGGGATGACAGGAATCCCGTAACGTAAGGTTCGTTACGCCCAACACCAACAAGGGATCCTGCGAGAGATTTTCAATGTTACCCTCGGTCTCGAAAGAATAGATATACAGAGAGAAACACCACATATAAGTCGAGGCTCAAGACACAAGCCCGCCGTCTGTGGGGGGATAGGCAAAAATTCTCACGCGAAATTTTGGGAAGGAAACTATTTCGAATATCCCGACTAATCTAAGTCGGGGGAACACACATCCGAATCAAACGACCCCTTTAGAATGAAGAAGGAAGAGAGAAGATTGGACACACGATGAGAGTACAAGGCTTATAGAGAGAAGGGCTTTGAAAGAAAGAAAACAAACGTAGATATATGGCGGCCCTAGCCTCAGTACCTACTAGGACAACGACGACACAAGACAAATAGGACCTAGGCCTCGGACTAGACTCACCGACACGGACAAACGACACCAGGACCTAGTATTCAGGACCTACCTATAGGAGCACGCTAAAGTAGAAGGATACATATGTGTGTACCGTAAAGGTTTGTAAACCTGACGTTTACATAATAGAAAAGTTAAATGTGCCGTAGATACGTTGCAGACAAGGCAGGACTCTCTACCTAGGGAGGAGACAACGAGAGGGACTCCAAAGAGGGTAAAAGGGAAATTTGACACCCAAAGAGGCACTTCAAAAAGGAACATGTTACACTCCAGATTCCTGTCTCCCACAGC